TTCTCAGCTGCCTTGCTTGGCGTCCGAGGCCTGCGGGGGACTTGGGATTAACCCAGAGCAAGGCTGGCTGCACAGACGGGGCTGCAGGCCGTGGCCCCGGAGCTGGAACCTTTGCCACAGACGCTACGTGTGCACTAACCTTGCGCGTCTACCATGGACCTGCGGGAAGCTGGACCGGTGAACCGGACCACATCCTTGTCCTCAAAGACACGTGAATGATTCTCTTCCATGGGCCCATGTGCCCACAGGACAGTGAAGGTCAACTCCAGCGTGGGTTCCCGAGCCCGAGAGATGGGTGCTGCCCCCGCAGCTGCTCTCGGGAGCTCTGGGTGGCCATGGAGCTCGCCCACACGCTGGCTGCTGGTTCCAGGACACAGATGGCGAATTTCACCCCCTCGTCTCTGGTTTCCCAGCGACACTGGAATTCTCTCCTGCTCTGACTGTTCCCATCAGACAACACACTGCCCTCGGCCGCAGGCAGCCTTGAGGGAGCCTCGTCCCAGGCCCTCCTGCTGCTGTTTTCACGCTGTGCTCCGCAGGGCCGCGAATTCTCCCGCAGCCTGAGCAGGAAGGAGGTGGAAACGCTGGACCTCTGGCCTTCACCAGCCCCAAGGGTCGCCTCGGGGACCACAGCTGGCAGCACACGGGGCTCGTCCCACCTTCCCAAGATTCACCATCTGGCACAAGCAGGGTGTGCAGGGGCCGGAGGGAAAACCCCGCAGGAAGTTGGATTGTTTTGCTCCCAGAGCAGAACCCAGCCCTCCTTTCCAAACCCTCCCGCAGCAAGCGCAGTGTCTCACCCTGCGGATGGGACCTTCCAAGGCTCTGCCCCGGAGCTGGCATGGCTCGGGCATCCTAGGCTAACTCGATACTTCTTGCTGAGTTGAATTACTGAGCGTTTAGGAAGCCACAGACAGATGTCGTTTTTCCCCGCGTCTTCCTGGTGTGGCAGCCCTGTCACCACATGCACCCACCCACGGACACGCTGCCCAGTGCGGAGGCAGGACTGTGGGGACTCAGGAGGTGGACAGGGCCTTCCCCGCCAGTTCTCTGGTCCCATCACTGAGCCCTCTGCCTTGAGCAGTGGCCGTGGGCCTGGGAGGAGGCCCGGGCCAGCGGGTCTGCAGCAGCTGTAGCTCACTACGGCGAGTTCCCTGGCCCGACTCAGGCCTCGAGAGTCAGGCTGAGGTGGGCCCAGCCATCGGATGGGATCTGAGTGTGAGCAGCACCGTGCAGGCACCTGTCAGAGAGGAGGCTGAGGGACAGCGTCAGACTGGAGGCGGGCCTGGTGGTGGCTGCTGGCACCGGCCCAGGCTTAAGGGTAACCAGTATTGCCTGTCACTCTTTCTGAAGGCCCACAGGGTCCATCTTGAGAATCAACTGCCTCCTGCTGCTCAGGGGGCTGCACACCCAGCTGAGGGCAGGAATGAGAGGTGAGCCCTCACAGCTAGGGCTGTGTCCAGGGAGGAGGGGAGGCACCAGCACCGGGCCTGCTGTGGTGGTGGGTATCCTGGGCCCTGTCAGCCCTCCCTGGAGCAGGTCTGCCCCAAGAGGCCCTGAGAGCCCAGTGCCCTTGGCAGGCACCCAGAGAAGGCTCCTGGCCGGGCTGAGGATGAGGCTCTGAAGACTGGTCAGTCTGACCCCTTCCATGCAGCACTGTGTCCGTGGGTCCCAAACGCTGCTGCTGGAGTCATGGGGGGAGCGGGCTCTTTAAAAATGCTGCTGCCTGGCTCCCACCCCACATTGCGATTCCTTGGAGAGTGTGACCTGGCCCTGGGACTGCCAACCCTCCCCGGGTGATTGCTTCCTGCAGGGAAGTTCCACGAGGAGCTAAGTCTTTTGAGGCCAAGACCTAGCTTGTGCTCCACAGTTCACAGAGCAACACGGCCCTGGAGGTGGAAGGCGGAGCAGGGAACCGGAAAGCTGTGTGTGAATCCTCAGAGTCAGGGCAGCAAAGAGCTGGACCGGGGGCGGGCAGAGGAGGGATGAGGCAGGCAAAGGTGGGCGGGGCAGAGCCGAGGTGGGCGGGGCAGAGCCGAGGTGGGCGGGGCGTGAGGACTGAACTAGCAGGAGGAGATGTCAGAATTGGGGAAATGCTTGAAAATAACTGGTTGTGAATATGGAACTTCCTGTGAAATAGATTTTCTTGGACGAAGAGGGAAGGGGAGAGGAAAGGGAGAAAGAGGAGGGGGCGGGATGTCCAGCCCGGGAACAAGAGGAGATTTGCTCCCAAGCCTCTGGTCTCTGGAAAAGTGGGAAAAACACGAAGATGGGAGAGAAGTGCAAAGGGGAGAGGGAGGTCCGAGTGGGTGGAGGAGGGGGTGCAGGAGGAGCTGTGACCCGAGGCAGCAGCGGGGAACCAGTGTGGGGCTCCTGGCAGGTCGACAGCTCCTCAGCAGGGCTGCCCTCCTGCATGTCCTTCCGTCCCGCTCGTCCCTCTCGGCTGGGCAGGGGAGGGGCAGCTCTGGCCTGGGGTCTGCCCTGGTAGCTTCCCTCTGGGACAGCGTCCCTGTGCTGAGTCCCTGGGAAGAGCCTTGCAGACAAAACCGAGAGACTTGCCAGCTCCGAGTCCCTGGGACTCCTGACCAGGCGTGACCATTACCACGTGCTGGGGACATGCCATCTGCACAGCAGGCCCGCGGGTCACACGCTGTGGCCCTGGCAGCCCAGCTGGCACAGCAGCAGGCAGGGCCTGAGCCCATTGGCAGAGGGCACAGGACGGTGGGAGTGTCAGGCACAACCCCCCAATTCTGCAGTCAGCACTCCCATCGGAGCTGCTTTCTGAGAGTCAAGGTGGGGCCCACGGAGGAGCCACGGCTTCCTTCAGGACCCTCAGAGCTGCCGCCTGTCTAGCCCGTGGCAGGGGTTGCTCCCCCCATTTCCTGCCGTGGTTTCCTGTGGGAATGTGGTCCCGGGCTGTCCGTACACAGGAGCAAGTAGGTGAGAGATGGCGGGCCAGGGAGGCCTCCCCAGAGGGAAGGAGGCTCCGGGAGGGGTGGCCGGGAAGGCCCTGAGGGAGGCCCCCAGTGCCCAGGAACTTTCCGCATCTCAAAGCACCACTTTGGCTGAAATGGGCTTTGAGCAACCCACGTGGCTCCTCAGCCGCGGGTGGTGTTTCTGCAGCGCCCCTGGGAGGGGCAGCCAGGACACCCTCGGGTCCTCAGCCCGCACAGGAATCACTTCCACGCACCCTGACGGGTGGCGGCAGACGCTGGCCTGTGGGAGACAGAGGGCGAGCTGTGGGTGCTCGGCTCCCAGAGCGCGGGGCTCCTTGCACAGCTGAGCTGCCGTGCTGGGCACATGCAGGGCGAGGGGCAGAGAGAAACGGGCAGCTTGAGTGCCCCAAGGGGTGGAGATGCCGTCCAGATCCCAGAGGGGACGGCGCCCCCCCCACTCCCCCCGCCTCCCCGCAGCGGCGTGGCCTGTATCCTTACAACTCCCTCCCAGTGGCCTCTGACCTCTGACCAGGTGACAGAGGAGTCCACCCTCCTGCCTCTGGCTCTGGGAGCCTGTGCTCCGGTGGGGAAGGGAGTTGGAGCCGGGGCTGGTTCTGAGGCAGCAGGCGGACCTCCTGCTCCCTCCAGCCCAGCCTCGCCCACCCGCCCACCGCCAGCCCCCTGCTCTGTGTGCCTCTGGGAAGGCCCCAGGTTTCCGCCCCAGGCCTGGCCCTGCGGCTGTTGCTGCACTCAGCTCCCCAGGCGAGGCCAGGCTTTCCAGGTGCTCAGCCAGCACGGCCTCCAGCCAGAGCTCAGCCAGGTCACATG